TTCTTTTTAATTCCCCAAAACCCCAAAACCCCAAAACCCCAAAACCCCATGATGCCAAAATTCAGATGAAATTAGATTATATTGAAAGTTTAAATATATAGGTAGGTAATTTAAGGGAATACTGAAAATAAACTTTGATTTTTGTAGAATTATAAAGAAATCAAGCATTATTAAGAAGGAAATTAAATAGATAATTAATAACAGACAAAAAGTTAATATAATTATTTATCCTCAAGCAGTTATAAAGCCTGGTGGATTCTATATTACATAAATTGTCAAAAGATCTCTTAGTATCTTTATAGAGGTTAGATATATATAGATTATCGATTACTAATATACTCTAAGTCTAATTATTATCACTGTACATCTCAAAGTCTTTAATGAAACTATTCCTATAAATAGATATTCCAAATTCCACAGAAATCTCTAATTGGATCAAATACTACAAGCAATCATAGTAGCTGCAAGTAGAAGGACTCTGTCACTCCAAATAAACTACTTGGGAAACCTTAAAGTCACAGACATGTCCATTTCTTACTCAATGACTTCTTTCATATCATAATTTTCTGTAAGATAATTGTCTTCATCTGTGAGTAGTAGCTCTTAGTACTTGTCTCGTCTAAGGACAAAATGTCGTAAGCATTGAGAATCTAGCAGATGAATAGCGCTATTCTTCATAACTCTTAAATATCCCACTGTTTTATTGTCATAAATTCTAGATACATAGACTCAATAGATTTTATATCACGTAATGCATTTCATAAGCATGCTTTTCTGCAGTTCAGAAGTTACTTTTTATCTTTGCATAGGAGGAAGTTTAGTTTGAACATAGTGCAAATTCATCTACTCCACTTTTAATATAGATTCGATGTGCGTAAATTCAGGTTTGATAGTGCAGTTTACAAAATGTTTCTTCTTAGACCCTAAAACTGGAGTTCTTATTGATACTTAGGTCGAGCCCGTAAAAGTAATGAGCTTTTTACCGATATTCTTCAAATTTTATAGCAGTCCGAGAGTTTAGCGCTTATCTGAAAGATTAGCATCGGAGTACCACAATTCATGAGCCGCAACATTGGTCCTATCACTTATATTTTAAGATCTATCTGCTATATCTGATTATTCTAATTTAGTGACTTCCTCATTCTTTGAAATTCTTGAAAGTTCTGCATGCATCTAGTGTGCTGAAATAGTTTTATTTTTCATTGGGGACATAGGTAGTTTAGGCTGCTAGAGACTGTTGAATGGCTTTTTAAGCAAAGTTATCTTTTTCTAATAGTTCATTAGATCTTTCCTATTCGAAACAATTAAATACTACTAGCATAGTGTAGTTCTCCCTCTAGCTTATTCACTTTTTGCTGTTAAAGGATGATTTTCAGACATTACCTTAGTTGAGGTAAATGTTTAGGTCATGGAGAGAGTAGAGTTGTTTTGATCGTTTTAAACCTGAGTATTTTCAAGTTTCTTAACTTGGATTCTTATTTATTTTAGCTCATTCATTAATTGGACGAAGTCAGAATCGAATCTTTCAACTTATCTCTGCTCATGGTATTTTTAGTTGACTTCTTAAAGTCGTTTAATATCTAGCACGAGCATTGTTTGATTCACCTGTTCCCCTATATATTTTCTCAAGTCTGTGTTCTAGAGATTCATACCCAAACGTTTAGTGTTAAGAAGTGGACTCTAAATTATTTCATCAAGATGAATGCTTGATTCATCGAATTTTTTGGACAACATAGGGGAGGGTTTCTTCTCAAAGGGATTTATTTCCTAAAGTTTATGGGCATTCTTGTTGCCTTTCTTCTTCTTGCTTTTGTTGACCTGCTTTTTATGCTCTTCTAACTCTACTTCGATTTTCTTATCAAAGATGGTCTTTCTCCGCTATAGTCTTAATTAATTCTTTGCACCCTAAGTCGCAATATTCGATATCATTTAATATAATCTAATTAAATTGGAAAATAATATTCAGATATATTACAATTTGACTGTAATTTAGTTCAAAAATCTATTTTTCTCCAACTTATATCACCTAAGTAAAAGTTGAATCTAATAATATTAAGTAAAGAATTATTAGATATTGTTGTATATCAGATTCTAATATAATAAAAAAATCCTTTTTAAACACATCAAAGATAAAATGTACAAAGCTTCTATCAACAATACGAAGGATGGTGGAGAATTCACCTCTGATTTAAAAGAGCCATTACTTCAAGGGGGTTAAGGATAGAAAAATGATATGGAAAAAGCAAGGAAACAAGATTCCTCTGAACATGAAAATCTAGAGACATGGCATGTACTTAAAAAGATTTCCCAACTCTCGATATTCCCAATAATTGGAATGATTTTCCATCCAGCTTACAGCATTTTCAATGCTATTGTTCTTGGATAAAATGAGGATGGTAGAATTCTGGCATCACTTGGGTTGGGTAGTTTGACACTTGGAATAGTGCTTCTATCAATCGGTTCATCTTTTAATTCTTGCCTAGACACTTTGATATCACAGGCTTTTGGACAGAAAGATCATAGACTCTGTATTTTGTATTTAAACAGACAGTTTTACCTCTCGACTATGGTATTCTTGCCACTTGCTATAATCGTATATCAATGTGAGACCTTCTATGTCTATCTGGGTTAAGATCCCTTCGTTGCAAAGAATGCTTCCACTTATGTGCTGTTCAATATTCCAGGTATTTTATTCGCAACATATGGAAGTTGCTACAGCAGATACTTCTCTGGAAATAGATACACAAAAGCAGATATGTTTTCTAAAATTGGAGCAAGTCTAGTTCATTTTGGATTATGCTATTATCTGGCAGTAAAAAGAGATATGGGGATGTTTGGTGTCGCTGTTTCTACTAGCTTCCATTTCTTTTGCCGCTTCCTTATCTTATTCTTATTCTTTAAGTTGAAATCATAGTTTAATAGCTAAAATGTATCTCTCTTCCATCGAGAGAACTTTAGAAACTTGGGACATTAAATTAAACTTAGTTTCTAATGCGCATCTTTTAGCATATGGTCATGGTGGGCTTTTGATATCTTCACTCTGATTGCCAGTTATATGTCAGTGTCTGAACTTGCTGCACAAACAATCTTGAGAAATATTGGGCTTTTAACTTATATGATTCCTGTTGGAATCGCATAGGCTTCAAGCATAACAGTTGGCAATAATATAGGTTCAAAGAACATTCAAACTGGTATGGTTTATGCAAAGATGTGCGTTCTAACAAGCGTCATCTGGGCTGCTGGTACAGTTATTTTCCTGAATGCAATGTAAGGTACTGTAATTAGTGTGTTTAGTAATTCCAGCGAGGTAAACTCTATTCTGGCTAAATCATTCCCAATAATATCAGTATTCGTGTTCTTTGATTGCGTTTAAGGGGTAGGATAAGGAATTATAAGAGGGCTTGGAAAATAAGGAAGAGCATCAATTATAACAATTATTGGATATTGGGGTATTGGTATCCCAACTTCACTTTTATGTGTATTCTATTTAGATTGGGGTATTGTAGGTCTTTGGGTAGGCCCATCTCTTGCCATTATTTTCAATTTCATCTTCTACTACATCATTATAATCAAAGCTGATTGGTTCACTATTGCTTTAGAGGCAGAGTAGCGTAGATTTAGAGAGAAAAATCAATGAAAACAGAGTAATTGAGAAGCAAGTCAGTAAGAGTAACAATATCAAATCTTATTTAACTCTTTTAAATTGAATCACTCAAACTTAGAGCTTTAATCCGCTTAATTTCATAAATACTTTTGATTGATTCGATTTTCACGAAAATAATTACAATGGGGTTTTGGGGTTTTGGGGTTTTGGGG